TACCTCAAATTTCTCGGTGTTTTATTGAAGAGCTGGCGAGAGGCAGGGATGCGGATGGGCTGGCCTGGCTTGCCGACGTGTGTCTCGTGGGCGGGGGGCCGCTTCAGACGGCGGCACGCATGGGGAAACTGGATGCCGTCAGGTGCATGGTGGAGGAGCTGGGCTTCGATGTCAATGCGGGCAGCCAATCTGGTATGCGCGCGCTTTCTTTGCGCTGATCGATTCTGTTCATGTTATGGTCATGCTCAATTTCGCAATTTTTGCTCGTGTGCACGATATTTCAGTAAACCCGCTGCATCAGTTTCATTCACTTTAAGCACTAGTTACTTGTTTCTGATTTTATTGGCAGGTTTAACTGCTCTGACTGCTGCTGCAGTGGATGAAAGAATGCATGTTATGAGATACCTTCTGGACAAGGGGGCTGATGTGAATAAGCCAGTCTATTCAGGCCATTCTCCTCTTCACCATGCTGCAAAATATGGTCTCTTCTGTGCACATATTAAGCTTTCTGTCTTTAGACTTGCGTTTACCACTTGGTTGCTCTGCAATTTAACAGTCTCCAACTCCTCACTAATGCAGTTTGATCATTTGTGTGGCTTCTAGCTTTTGTTCTATTTTAAACGCTGAATTCTTGCACTTCTACCAAAAGTGTAGTTTATAGGAAATCGATTTGACTATTTTGCACAGTTCATGCTGGTTTTTGGTGCTATCCAACCCTGTAATATGCTTACAAATTACCTTCCAAACCCTCACCGAGATGATGTTCAGTCTGGTTCTGATAATTAGTAATCTAGTATTCCTACTTATTTTATTCCATTTTCATGGCATGTTAAATGAACTCGGTCACGTGACTTTGGAGCTGGGGGCCATCTAGCAGATGTTGGCATTTAGATTCTTTCGGTTCAATTTGCTCTCCCTATGATTTAATATGCTCGGTCCCCGGTAAAAAAAAAACTAATACACCTAGTCTTATTTTGTGTTTGTGTCTCCTTATAACAAAACGATAACTTATGTCTGGTCTTATTTGTTCTCCCCATGGATTTATACTTTGGTCTTATTTTGGGCTTGTTCTTTTAGTTCTGTAGCATTGGCATGTCTCTTCAATAAAAAACAACAATGCGTTCCAATCCCAAAGAAGTTGGGGTAGGCTAGAGTTGAAACCTATAAGATCCTGAAACCTAGTGATGGTTCTGTCACTTGGATAGCTAACTTCCACGCACCCCTGTCCATGACACGCCTATCCATGTCGTGTCTCTTAAATAGTTTCACCAAAATAGTCATGACATAGTTAACTCATGCCTGGATTCTAGCCAAGGCATGCTGGTGGTGGTTCTTGATAATGTTTATAAAAATACATTTCTTCTGTTGCGCGAGAAATGCTTATTTTTCATTGTAACATTTTTTTTCTGCACTATGTCTAGGACGTGATGAAGCAGCACGATTGTTGCTATCCAGAGGAGCTAGTGTTGATTCAACTTTTCGTGGTCTGACACCACTACATTTTGCTGCTGGCTTTGGGATGATTGGTGTCATGAAAGTACTGTTGGAGCACCATGCAGATGTAATAAGTAAATTTCATGTTTTTGTATTTGAGCTTTATATGCTACTACCTTGTTTGAATGCAGATTCATCAATATTTAGTATGTTGGATTGCGGTTCCATGCCTTGGTCTTCTCACAGCCTTTTATCGTAGCTTTAGATTTTCATCTCTTATATTTCTAACTAATATTATTTAAAAATCACATAATAGAGTAGTTAGCTGGAATGGCAGTTCAAATGGCTTTTCCGCACGTCATACTTCATGCTACTCTGTACCATTGCTTATTTTTCCTTGCTGTGTGATCTTCAGTTCTTCATGATATGGCAGATATTTATGTCAAATGTACAGCTTGGGATTCTCTTGTTCCTATGCAGAAGCTGGATAGATTCCTGTTTTAACATGTGCATGTCTTATTTGATTAGCATAATGTTATTCTGTCTCATACTATTACCATGTCATAACTCATAAATACTGGTTAGGTTGAAAGAACTGTCTTTGCAGCTGAGGCTTAGCAATCTATATAAAGTATTTATTGCAAACTGTCATTAGCATGGCCTTGTGACCATGAGGCCACGGGTTCAAGTCCTGGAAACAGCCTCTTACAGAAATGTAGGGAAAGGCTGCGTACTATAGACCCAAAGTGGTCGGACCCATCCCCGGACCCTGCGCAAGCGGGAGCTACATGCACCGGGCTGCCCTTTTTTTTTTGTCATTAGCATGGCCAATGATAGTTTTGTCATCCCACTTCCATATAAAAGGAGAATCATGAGAACCGAAACATGTTGTGTGTCCCTATGTTCTAATTTTCCTCTATTATATTTAAGCATTCAATATTATATCGAAGTTGATATTTTATACTAAAGATATTTTGTAATAAAAATGTAGCCGAACAAGGTCTCAGAAGAGGGAAGTACTCCGCTGACTGAAGCACTTCGTGGCACCGATTCAGGACTACCTGAATCTACTATACTGGAGTGTGTCAAGCTGCTTGTGGAGGTCTGGTAACAGTCCACCTTGACTTCATGTTAATACATATAGTTTTCTTATGATATTAATCTATTGCATGAATTGCGTAGTTCATAATTTTGGTTTTATATGATCCATATCCACAGGCAGGCACAGATGTAAATTCTGCTAATAGCGAAACTCCGTTGGTAATAGCAACTCGTTATGGCTTAACTGACTGCGTCAAGTACCTGTTGAAGGCTGGTGCTTCCAAAAAACCCCAACTCTCAGCTAAAAAAAAACCCCCAACTCTCGACTCTCTGATGCCGAGGCAAAGTCGCCAGACTTCAAAGTTAAGCTCGCCTACGAGAGAGCTGCTCTTCGACGCAACCGTTCGTACGACGGGCTCCCACGCCTCCCAAACGAGGGCTCGCCGCAGATGGCCTTCTTCGACGCGGCCGCCGAGGGTGATCTTCCCCGTCTCAGGGGTGAGCGAGCTCTCCATCGGCCCAATCTGTCAAGCGTGTGACCGCGCACCGCCCCCTCCCTTCAGTGTGGCCTCGCATCTGCTAGGGTTTTGGGGGAATGGGGGTCTGTGCGTGCGTGTGTTCCTTTCGCCATGTAACGTAGCGCTGTCCATGTGTCTTAACTCTTAACTCAAATTTCTCGGTATTGTATTGAAGAGCTGGCGAGAGGCAGGGATGCTGAGGGAATGGCCTGACTTGCCGATGTGTGTATCGTAGGTGGGGGGCCGTTTCAGACGGCGGCACGCATGGGGGAACTGGATGCTGTCAGGTGCATGGTGGAGGAGCTAGGCTTTGATGTCAATGCTAGTAGCAAAGATGGTATGTCTCCGCTTTCTCTTTGTTCATGTTATGGTTAGCTCAAATTCGCGATGTTGCTCGTGTGCATGATCTTTCAGTTTGTGTATATTTCATATACCTTAAGCACTGCCATGATTCAACTTTTTCTGGCCACTTACCAGGGTATTTGTCGACCCTGACTTGTGGTCTTCTCACTAGTCACTACTTCTGGTTATTCATATTATGAGCAGTCACTTGCTATATATAGACTATTTAGATTTTACTCCCTCCGTCCCAAAATTCTTGTCTTAGATTTGTCTAGATACGGAATCTAAGACAAGAATTTTGGGATGGAGGGAGTACATTGGTAGTGTTTTCATGTAAATTCATCTTTTAGTTGAGAGAGATGTCAGATATAGCACTAGTTACTTGTTCTTTATTCATCTCTGGCAGGTGTAAGTGCTTTGACTACTGCTACAATTGAGGAAATAATGGATGTTATGAGGTACCTTCTGGACCAGGGGGCTGATCTGAAAAAGCCAGATGATTCAGGCCATTTCCCTCTTCACCTTGCTGCAAAATATGGTCTCTGCAAATACTAAGCGTTCTGTCTTTAGACTTGCGTTTACCATTTGGTTCCTGTGCAAAGAAGTTTTGAAGGAATGGTTCATTGTTCTCCTGAGCAGTCTTCAACTCCTCACTAATTCAATTTGATCATTTGTGTGGCTTCTAGTTTTTGGTCTATTTTAGAAGCTGAATTCTTGCACTTCTACCAAAAGTGTAGTTTATAAGAAATTGATTTGACTATTTTGCACAGTTCATGCTGGTCTTTGGTGCTATCCAGCCCTGTAAGCTTACTAATTACTCCCTTCGTTCACAAATATAAGGTGATGTTCTACATCTTATATTTGTGAACGGAGGAAGTACCTTTGAAACCCTCACTGAGGTGATGTTTAGTCTGGTTATGATAATTAGCAATCTAGTATCCCTACTTATTTTATTCCATTTTCATGTCATATTAGATGAACTCGGTCACGTGACTTTAGAGCTGGGGGCCATCTAGCAGATGGTGGCATTTGCATTGTTTCAGTTCAATTTGTTGTCCCTATGAATTAATACGTCCGGTCCCCAGTCAAAAAGCTAACACGTCTGGTCTTATTTGTGGTTGTGTCTCCTTATAAAAAAACAATATCATATGTCTGGTCTTATTTGTTCTCCCTATGGATTAATACTTTGGTCTTATTTTGTGTTTGTTCTTTCGTTTCTGTAGCATTATCCTTGTGTCTCTTAAATAGTTTCACCAAAATAATTATGACGTAGTTAACTCATGCCTGGCCTCCAGCCAAGGCATGCAGGTGGTGGTTCTTGTGATAATGTTAAGAATACAGTTCTCCTGTTGTGCGAGAAATGCTTATTTTTCATGGTAACATTATCTTGTGTTTTTTTCTGCACCATGTCTAGGACGTGATGAAGCAGCATGATTGTTGCTATCTAGAGGAGCTAGTGTTGATGTAGCTTATCTTGGTCTGACACCACTACATTTCGCTGCTTCCTGTGGGATGATTGGTGTCATGAAAGTTCTATTGGAGCACCATGCAGATGTAATAAGTAAATTCCATGTTTTTTTCTATTTGAGCTTTATACGCTACCTTGTTAGAATAAGTAAATTCCATGCAGATGTAATAAGTAAATTCCATGTTTTTTTCTATTTGAGCTTTATATGCTACCTTGTTAGAATGCAGATTCATCAACATTGTATGTTGGATTGTGGTTCCATGCCTTGGTCTTCTCACAGCCTTTTATTTCATCTCTTATGTTCTAAGTTCTAACTAATATTAGTTCAAAATCACATATAGAGTGAGTAGTTAGCTGGAATGGCAGTTCAAATGGCTTTTCCGCAGGTCATACTTCATGCTACTCTGTACCATTGCTTATTTTTCATTGCTGTGTGATCTTCAGTTCTTCATGATGTTATAGCAGATATTGATGTCAAATGTACAACTTGGGATCCCCATGTTCCTATGCAGAAGCTGGATAGATTCCTGCTTTAACATGTGCATGTCTTATTTGATTAGCATAATGCTATTCTGCCTCGTACTATTGCTATGTCATAAATACTGGTTATATCCAAGTCGATATTTTACACTAAAGATTTTCTGTAACAAAAAATGTAGCCAAACAAGATCTCAGAACAGGGACGTACTCCGCTGACTGCAGCACTTTATGCCACCGATTCAGGACTACCTGAATCTATTTCACTGAAGTGTGTCAAGCTGCTTGTGGAGGTCTGGTAACTGTCCACCTTGACTTCATGTTAATACATATAGTTTTCTTATGATATTAATCTGTTACGTGAATTGCATAGTTCATAACTTTTGATCTTATATGATTCATATCTACAGGCAGGCACAGATGTAAATGCTGCTAATATTGAAACTCCATTGGTAATAGCAACTAGTTATGGCTTAACTGACTGTGTCAAGTACCTGTTGAAGGCTGGTGCAGACCCTAATATCCCACATATTCATGTGAGTTTTGTAGCATTTTTACCTTATCGTGTCTTCTACTGCATGCAGTTTTCTTAGTCATATTTTCTAAGGGATCGGGGACATATATAGCATGTAAAACATATTTCCTACTTCAGTTCTAACGTGCAAACCTATCCCTGAGGCATCCGATGAACAGGAAGTAAATCATTTATCGTCCCATGATCAAATAACTGATAATCCTGTCAGATCTTGATCTGTCACCGAGCAAAATTGTGGGTACATTTTGATTGCTACCAAACCTGGCCTTACCTCCCTACATTCTTTGGCTATGGTCTGGATAGCTACCAATTTTAGCTCACCCGCATGACATCAGCGTGCCCCTGTCTGCTTTTCGCCAATGAGCGGGCGGAGAAATCGTTCGCTCAAAAGTTGGCACCAATCTCAGCTGCATGCTGCAGGAATCAAAAGAGCACGTTTCTGCAAATATTAATCAGCACTGCTCTGGTGGCCACCGAAGTTGCACGACCTCTAATCCTTCTCTCAAAGGGAATCACATCACATCAACATGCCATTAGCTCAATTCCCCCTTACGGCCTTACCCTATTTCGATCAATTCTTTCATGGCATGATTTATCCTGCTGCTGGCTAGATCAAAAGTGTTACTTACGAAATCATCAATTCTTTATGTTTTGAGACCACATGCATGTGATTCCATCAAGCAGATTTTTAACTTGATGAATCCTTCGTTCCTGAACTTTGAACTTGATGGATCCTTCATTCCTTTGTCATTTTAGTTAATTAGAGGTTGAAATTGCATCCATCCCTCCAACTGACAGTACATCTGTACATGAATGAGGCAATAAAGCTGATGCATGCTTGGTATATTAAGTCTGATGCTATTACCAAGATATGGGCTGAATAATATATGTATGAAACCATGCTGACTGAGACTTCAATTAGTTAGTCTTGCTTACAAAGGTACTATTATGAGTTCAGCAAAATATGCAATTAGCTACCTTTTGTTACCTCGTCACCGAATCTCTGAATTTTAGAACCAAATCACACACACATGCTGATATATGTTGCCAAATGTTCTGAAGCCATTTGGCTTTAAACCAAATGTAAGCCTATGCTTTTGACAAAATAAGTTGTTACCGTGGCTACAAACCTGCCAATATTTTGGCCACGCCCTTGGTTTGGTCATGCCAAATTTTTGGCAGGACTAGATGGGGCTCAAACCAAACATACCCTGTGCCTTATTCCCTCAGTTCCTGACTGATGAGGATTTAGTCTGATTTACTTCAGAAAATTTGATTTATACTGGGTAGTGTTTAAGGCTACTAATGTCAGGAACCAAAAGTTGACATGATTTATGCTCGAGTGCAGCTAATTTATCTCACTTGGTACAGTTAATTTTTCAACAAAATTTTCTTTAACTTTTGGTTGATCGAAGCTGACACTTTGAGAAACAGCAACTCAAATGACATTTTGAAGTAGGTGGGTTATGTAATGTCTAGCATAACTTCATCTATTTATGTGCCCAATTTCATTTTTTCTATATATTTCCTTATTATTTATTGTGATCTAATTAATACCGCTGAGATTTTTTACTAGGCTTATATTCGTTTTTCAATCCCTGGTAGCTATATAGTAGTAACTTCTGCTACTGAACCATGTGGTTCCTGTTTGTTACTTCTTACTTGACAGACTGGTGCCAAGCCAATAGAACTTGCTGCAATCCGTGGAAGACGGAAGCTTGTGGAGTTACTATTTCCTTTAACTTCTCCTATTCAAACTGTACGAAACTGGACCGTTGAAGGAATTATTGCCCATGCCAAAAGGCCCTCTAAGCCCTCTAAGCCAACGGTATGAATTGGATTTTAAGAATTTGAATCATCCTATATTGAGTTATTTCTTTGTCCTTCAACCGTTGCGGCATAAACGTTTGCACCTCTAATCACCTGAATCTTTTCTTTATATGGGACTAGTAGATGGGTCTACTTAAAAGGATATGTTACGACATTTTTGTGGTTTTTGTCACTATGCAGATTTTTCATTCTGTTTTGCCATTCTCTCCTTGGCCTACATTTCAGTGACATGACCCAGTGCAAATTTGCAATGCAAGCAAAAGCATTATACACAAAATCTAATGGCAAAATCATTATTGCTCCTATATTATAAATACAGAGTACAATAGAAAGATGATCCCTTTGAAAATCTTTGCTAAATATTTTTGCGCTTGATATATATTTTCGTTATTTGAAAATTTTCCAAAAAAAAACACAGATGAACATGACTAAGTATTATATTTAGGCTCTAAATTTGATGCAAAAACGTGCGTTTCGTTGCCCTGTGGAAAATCCACGTCCTAAACTCCCTCTGATTATCTGTCTACAACTGTACGACTTGGTTAAACAAAAAATACAACCTAGTTGTTTCCGAGTCTTCCGTTGTTATATGAAGTTTAATCCTCAAACTATATCTTTTTTGTCACACAAAGAAACTTCTTTAATCTTCGGTGAACATTGTACATTTTGTATGTATATTTTGCTTGTCTTAATTTGTCTCTATGATTTAGGTTAAGCATGATAAAAGTACGAAAGTTCAGTTGAAATCATTTGGTGAGAAAGCTATTAAGAGAAAGGACTATCATGGCGCGTCAAAGTTCTACACCGAGGTTAGTAGTGATTTATAGAATGATGCAGTATTGGTTATGCTACTCTACGGTCTTTGCAAGATGCATATCAGCATATGCATGAAACTTCTACATTACACCTTATCCTCTCATTATACAAACATTGGGGTTTCTTTTCAAAATGTCTGTTCATTGATAGAATCAAGAGTGTACTTATTTGACACCGTCCCCAGGTATAATATGTAATATAAGCCAAGTAACTCTGTGAATTACATTTATAGTTGAATCCATGACAGTATTATAAGATCTCCACTCTCCAGCCAAGTCTTGACACATGTCGTGTTGTTTGGAAACCTTCCAACAGCCATGACTGCTAGGAACGGTTCAAACCAGCTTCAGCAGTTCTCTCGAAAGAGGCCTGTAATGATTATCCGAGAAACGTTGGTTCTCAGTTTCAGTTCAGAACCATCATAAAGTGTGAACAGCCCTAATGTTATTACTGATAGTCACAGGCGTGGACTTACAGGACCAATGTTGTCTTGTTAACTTGGGTAAATTGGGGTCTTGCCAGGCTTACATAATTAGCCCTGCGCAAGCCATAACATATATACGCTGTTCCGTTCTTTCGCTCAAAAAACTTGTTTCGTTATGAGACATCCCTCACCATTTTCAATTCTCTGTTTTGACGTAGGCAATTGAGCTGGACCCTAGTGATGCGACGCTGTACTCAAACAGGAGCCTTTGCTACCTGCAGACTACTGAAGCAGATAAGGCTTTGCACGATGCTAACACTTGCATAAAACTGCGCCCTGAATGGATCAAAGGTTACTACCGGAAAGGAGCCGCTCTCATGTCGCTCGAGGTCAGATAAGTCACAGATTACCCACCTTGCACTTGGTTACATGGCATATCCCTGTATGCATACTATAATCTGCGGAACTTCCCATTGGTAGGACTACAAAGAAGCTTGTGATGCATTCATGGCTGGACTGCAGCTGGATCCTGGAAACGCCGAGATGGAGAAAGTGTTCATATAAGCTATCCCAACTCGTGCTTCTCTTTCCAAGAATCTCCCCAATGATGGGAATTTTTTGGGTGTGTTGATGGACATTGCGGACTGGTCTAAACATGGTGCCGATCAGGGAACTAACTTGGCTCATGTTTGCAGGGAGGCGGTCGAGGAAATGAAGAAGGATCACTTGGCTAGAAAAGGCTCCAAGCCATCCGATTAAAGGAAAACCGTGGATCGCCCTGCCCCATTTCATGTAAATATTTATTCTAGTGCCAGGAAACATACTCATCTTCTTTTTGGTACCGTACTGAGTAGCAGAGCACCATGACTCTGGTTTGCCTGTCAATGGCGCTGTCGCAGAATGCCACAGCAAACCCTAGGTGTAGTGGAAGTAGACGTTTCCTTTCCTGCGTACAGCGAAAGAGGATCACCACGTTGGTCATCTGGATGGATGGGCATTGCTCCTTAAGTATGTGTACCTTGTGTCGTGATCCGTTCGTCGATAGAAGTTTCTGTCGTTGTTCCATTGAGTTTCTCTGACGGGCGGCTAAGCGTGTGTGCTCTGCTCCGCGGTAGAAACTTCGAAACCGTCCACCTGTAGGCGAAGGTGTCCTTGCTCACCCTTAGGCCTTGTTCGGTTGCGGGTGAATCCGAGTGGATTGAAGGGGTTTGAGGGGGATTTAAACCTCTTTTAAATCAAAATATGAACCAATCCCTGCCAATCCCCTCCAATCCTCTTGGGGAGAGGATTAACCGAACAAAGCCTTATGCGGCATATTTCTGTACCTCAATTTTGGAAACAGAGTCATGGACTGACCGGAATGGTAAATCCTCTTACCTAAATCGCTGCCCGGGGTAGCATAGTAGGCACCAGATCTTGTCCATTTTCAAAAAAGCAAATGATAATGATGAATATATGATAAACCTGAATTTAAGCCACAATGTGGATAACCAGTTAACAGCTTGATTTGCTGGTAATGCTGTCAGCTTTTTGTTAGACATCTCATCTCAAACATTTTGACTCACAAGTGACACTACATGCCGTAGAACCATTAGGGTAAAGATGAATTTCATCAAATAGGGTGCACGCCGTAGTCTTTTTTTCCGAAAAGGAGGTTGAACCCCCGGTCTCTGCATAACTCACTCAAGCTCTGGCAAAAAGAGCTTCACTATCTAATAACTACTAACAGCAACACGATGAACAGTCCCATGAATCGCTACTAGACCAAAAAATGCATGGAACCGACCGAAGAAAGATCACATCAAAAAAGAAAAACACGGGGTAAATTCACCGAAGACGGCATCCAACCGACCCATCTCCCTCGAAGGAAAACTGAATCCTGCGTCCGTCCCAAGGAAGGAGGTGTGCTCATTGAGAGGACGCCGCGGCGCCGCCCCCGCCAGCGTCGTCGTCCCTGGAGGAGACGTCGGAGAACTCGTCGGCGTACATCTCCTCGATCATGGGCTTCCACAGCCGCACCCGCGCGTTGATGAACCAGTTGGATATCTGCCTTCTGCTTAACCCCGTGCTCACGGCCAGCCTCAGCTTCTCGTTGTCGCTGGGGTACCTGCTTCACGTTGCAGCAAAACACACAGCCGAGTGTCTGTCAACTAGTGCAGTACTAGCTTTCAATGTTTCGAATGCTACTTTCAAGTATTGAATCTAAATACTTTGAACGATGGTATTCGATCTCTCTGTTTTGAAATATAAGGTGCATTATTATTTTTTATGGTCCAAACTTCTCCATATTTGAATTTGACCAAGGTTATTGAGCAAAATTTCAGTAACAATAATCCCTTTGTTCCAAACTAATCGAAGTATTGGAACAGACCTAAGTCAATCTTTTTGAATTTTGACCAGGTCTATGGAAAAATAAATGTGCCAAGATCTACACATTCAAATGTATATAATATGAAAATATATTTCATAACGAATCTAGTGAACCAAATTTGTTGTTATAGATGTTGACATATTATAACCTAGGTTTGACTTGGGACAGCAGACAGAGCTTTGCCAGTGTAAACTGTTAAGCAGCGAGGGCACTCACGGATCTATGAAATGGTTGAAGAGCCAGGCCCGGAGCACGGCCACCGACCCCTCCGGCAGGCCCCTCAACGGCTTGCACACCTGCTCTGCCGCCCGCGCCGCCACGGCCTGCTTCGTCCGCCGGACCAGCCTGCTCACCATGTCCTCCGTCTGCGCGGGGTCGTACTCGTCGTCGTCTTCGTCGTCCTCCTCCTCCTCGCTGTCATCGTTCGTCCACAGCCTCGCCCTCGGCGCCGGCGCCGGCCTTGCGACCGCGGCGAGCTTGCGGAGGATGGCGCGGCGCAGGTTGGCGAAGTGGCGCGTCATGGCCCGCGACATGAGGGACGTGTACCCGGCCGTCGCGGCGGGCCCCAGCGCCGGCTCGAACGACGACGCCACGCGGCTCAGCTCCTGGAAGTAGTGCTCCTGCCGCCCCTCCAGCTGCGAGAGATAGATTCATTAGCCGCCATGGATAAGCTAGCCGAGGGAAGAAGAGATAGCTTGGCTGATAACGTAGTGGTCTCGCTTGCAATGGATGAATGGAATAGTGCGGACGGACCTCGCTGAGAAGGCCGAGGAGCTTGGCTTGCACCGCGCCGGCGCCGCCGTCGTTCTTGGCCTGGATGCCGCGGCGGCGCGTGGCTGCCGCCCGCAGACGGATCTCTCGGAGAGCCTCTTCGCCGGGCGCGTCGTCTTCGCTGCCTCCCCCCGCGCTCTCGTCGTCGTCGCCGCCGCCGACGACGGCGGAGACCGCGTCGCGCAGCAGCTCCTGCACGGGCCTCAGGTACCGGGAGCCACTTAGCACCGAGTCCACCGACGGCATAACCCCAGGCGCCAGAGCCGGCGCGTCCGCGTCGCTCGCGCAGCAGCACCGGCAGACGTCGTCGGTTTTTGCCGCCGGGGCGCCGAGCGTGAGCGCCAGCGGGCCAGCGGGCGAGGCAGCCGGGTGGTGCTCGCGGCAGCACTGCTCCCGCAAACGGAGCAGCATCAGCGGGCCGTTGGCGCTGTCGGTGGCGACAGGACGAGCTTGCTTCGGCGAGCCGCTTTCCTGGAGGCGCTTGGTCACCATGTCTCCCTACCTACCCACCACCACCACCACCACTGACCGTCGTCAATTAGCTTATCAAGAAAACATATCATCAGGCAAGCAGATAGAAACAAGAATCAACAGTAACGCCATTACGTGCGAGAGTGAGGTGGGTGGGTGATGAACTGAACTGATTAGTGATGATGATTGATGAGCAAGCATCAGCGTAAATATGTCCGTGCATGCATGCATACCTTCTCTAGCTGTTGCCCTGGCCGGCCGG